AAAATTCTCTCTCTCTATATATATATATATATTTATATATATATTTGTTTGTTTTTTTTGTGTGTGTGTGTGTGTGTGTTTATAATTGATTTACAGCTGTTGTTTTTTCTCTTTTTTGTCCAATTTTATGCACAATAAAAATAAAAATCAATCAATTTGATACACAATAAAAAATTCTCTCTCTCTATATATATATATATATTTATATATATATTTGTTTGTTTTTTTTGTGTGTGTGTGTGTGTGTGTTTATAATTGATTTACAGCTGTTGTTTTTTCTCTTTTTTGTCCAATTTTATGCACGATAAAAATAAAAATCACAGTTCAATTACCGGTTTTTCCCCAGTTTGATTCACAGAAAAACCATAAATTATATAATTGATATAATTTGACAGTATTGTCCAATTTGATTCATAATAAGCCATAAAAATGTATTAATGAGGCTATTAGATTTTTCTAAAGGTCACTCAAAACCCTTTGATTGAAGCTTTTGAAATTTGAAGCACTGATGGTCAAATCTCTAGATAAATTTGCATTTCATTCATCCATCAGACTGTTTGACAGTGAAGATGAAACAGAACTGGAGGTTGGCAGTCCATCATACGCAGCAACTGTTGCCACAAGCACAAATCCAGACTCTCCGTCTTCTAGTTTCCCTCACAGGTACATCGCAAGCCCCATAAGACCTTGGCAGGTCTTCCAGCCAGTTCTATCAAACCTTTACAATTAATCCAGAACACAGCAGCACGATTAATTTTTTACGAGCCGGAAAGAATGCACGTCACACCTCTGTTCATCAATTTGCACTGGTCACGAAAAACGACGGTCAGGAGCGCAATCTAACCCTGCTATGACATTTAGAAGCCAAATGAGAAAAGATCCCCATCTGCACGAGAGTTGCTATCGGATCCGGCCATCAGAGAGCATCCCAAAGAGTCACAAAATCACTTTCACAGACTTTTACATTAACTGTTCCCTCCTGGTGGAACTCGATCCAAGCAGCTGGTATTAACGGTGTTTCCTTCAGGTTTCTCTGAGGATGTTGGTGTAAAGAGAGGAGAGCTGATCCCAGAACATGAGTTTGCGGATGATGGACCCATCCGTCTGGATGATGAACAGGAGTTTTCTCCGGTTAGCTTTCAGAACAGATGAAGACTCGATCTCCACAAACACATTTCATTTCAGTCAGGCTTCGCGGCCATTGGATGGCATCTCTGAAGGATGCCGATCGCTGTATGAACAGCAGTTTGGGTGTAAATATCACAGTTGTTGATCAAATCATGCAAATAACAGGCTGGATGTAGATTCAGGGATTCAGGATTACCAGCTCAGACGAAACTTTTACAAATACATTCCCATTATGAAGTGTGTAGCTCATAGATGTGCGTTTAATTCATTCTAACTACAACTGTGAACTCATATTTTGCCACAGATGTCTGTAAATGCTGGCTAACATAACTATAAGATTTTGAAGAGCAATGCTTTTCAGTGAAACAGGGGTGAAACTGATTTTTATGAATGCCAGAAGGCGTATGATTGCCTGCAGGAGGCTGAAAGTCATAACAGTCAGATTTTGACATTTGTGTAAACAAGCAGTTTATATACAGTAGAGTACAGTGAGTGGCAAACCGCTACAATAAAAGTTGTATCAAAACCTTCAATACATTTTAATGTTGACCAGATTAAATATATTCGTTTTTAGGATTTAGAGTTTAAATGTGCATATTTAGGAAAGCCCCCCAAAAAAAAGGATTTCAAATGATTTCACATTTCAGGGGGATAGTAAGCCAATGACACGCATTAATGTGTTTTTACAGTCTCCAGTCCGTTTAGTCAATATCACAGTGTTGTTGATTTGAATGTGGAACCGTAACATAATAAAATAAAGTTGGCAAAATGAAAACTAACTGTTTGCATGTTTGTGTTGGAGATGATGTGCTACAAATTTAGAAGTGCAACACTTAAACACAAGGATACAAGATATTGTCATCTGAATTATTTATCAGATGGCATAAAATAATTCAAGCAAGAACTCAGTTACACTGCTCAGATTAATATAACACACACACACACACAGTATATATATATATATAGGCTATATATATACTGTAGAATAATGTATAGCTTTTTTAAACAAAGTATGGAAGTCATAATATACTTTAAAAGAGTATACTTACATGTGAACTGAATATAAGACACCTAATTGCATGGTATTTACAATTAAATAAAAATATTATACTTTAAATTCGTAATGAATGCAGTTATCTGAACTTATAATTTCATCATGTCTTCTGTTGTCTTTGAAATATGGTTAAAGTGTTGCTGCTAAATGTAGCCTACTGACAAGCATCATAAACTAAATTTGATATGTAATTTCTATTGAAACCCCTATTCTATTGAAATTTATAATTACACATTCGCAATAATGACGTTTTTAGGATTTAGAGTTTAAATGTGCATATTTAGGAAAGCCCCCCAAAAAAAAGGATTTCAAATGATTTCACATTTCAGGGGGATAGTAAGCCAATGACACGCATTAATGTGTTTTTACAGTCTCCAGTCCGTTTAGTCAATATCACAGTGTTGTTGATTTGAATGTGGAACCGTAACATAATAAAATAAAGTTGGCAAAATGAAAACTAACTGTTTGCATGTTTGTGTTGGAGATGATGTGCTACAAATTTAGAAGTGCAACACTTAAACACAAGGATACAAGATATTGTCATCTGAATTATTTATCAGATGGCATAAAATAATTCAAGCAAGAACTCAGTTACACTGCTCAGATTAATATAACACACACACACACACAGTATATATATATATATAGGCTATATATATACTGTAGAATAATGTATAGCTTTTTTAAACAAAGTATGGAAGTCATAATATACTTTAAAAGAGTATACTTACATGTGAACTGAATATAAGACACCTAATTGCATGGTATTTACAATTAAATAAAAATATTATACTTTAAATTCGTAATGAATGCAGTTATCTGAACTTATAATTTCATCATGTCTTCTGTTGTCTTTGAAATATGGTTAAAGTGTTGCTGCTGAATGTAGCCTACTGACAAGCATCATAAACTAAATTTGATATGTAATTTCTATTGAAACCCCTATTCTATTGAAATTTATAATTACACATTCACAATAATGAAGTTGCAGTTTAGTATATTAACTTTAAATGTAGGCTAATAAAAAATAACGTTGGACTTTAAAATGTTCGAAAGAACTTTTTAAAAATGTACTTTAAAGTATAGTAGGCCTACTGCACACTTTTAAGTACACTTAAGTGACCTTTTATTAATAATTTATTATCTGCAAGTAGGCTACAGTTATAGAAACATAGGCTACTTGTAAGATATGAAGTAGTACACTGTAAGTAAGGAAGTCTATTGGATTTGCGACTTTTTATCTGACTTTTTGAGAGAAAAACTGTCATATTTATGAGATAAATAGTCTACTACTTTTTTATTCTTTGGCGAAAACGAGCTTCCATACTACAAGTGCGCATTCAGTACAATTAAGCGCACTTCTTTTTCACAAGCGTAACCGCAGAAGATGAATGATTTCCCATGAGCGCAAACACAGTATGCTCCCTACATAGACGCTATTCTCGCACGCTTCCTAGTGTCACCGCGCTGGGTTTGTGACGCGACCAGCGCGTCGCGGCCGCAGTGCATGCTGGGACATGGCGAGCCGCACTCAGCTCCTCCCCACGTGTTTGAGTGACTGCAGCGCTGCGATCAGCAACATGGCAGCAACACCTCTCATCAACACACAGAGAGAGATCCTCACACAGTCCAGCTGAAGAACTTCAAGACAACTTCACTAACGCTGGGTCTAGAGCGGGGACGCGCACGTCTGCTGACGCACAGCTCAGATCGCAACTCAGGCTTTTGTTGATTTAGTGGATCAGCGAGGCCTCGGTAAGTGTGTGTCAGATGTGTTCAGAACAAGCGGGCAGTCACAGTGTCGTATCAAAAGTTACATACGTATAAAAACATGTATGTAAACATACACAGATTGCGAATGGTATGAATTTGAGGCGTTCTGCTTGCTTGTGTCATGTTATGTTTATCCGCGGAGAGCTGCTAAGTCATCTTAGCATGTTGTTTCGTTTGTTGATTCTGGCAGATTCCCTTAATCTGTACTTTTATTTCAACTTTTTTACTTTTATATTGAATGTGTTTCACTGTGATCGTATGTGTTATAAAGCTGCTGGCTGTCAGTGTCGTGTTGCATCATTCACTAAACCCGAGTGGCCTGCTAATTATCATGACAAACAGTGATTGATTGACGGTTACAAAAGATTAGATTACATAAACCTGTATATGGTGAGTATGTTCGTACATACATGTTATGGAAAAAACTATTTCAACCACAATGAAAATTATGCTTTGGTAATTAATAATTATAACGCAAATAACCGAAACTGTGATATACAAAGTCAAAATTATGAGGTAAGAAGTCATTATATATAGGACCATGTGATATTTCAGTTTTTCTTTTTTGATAAATCTGCAAAAATGTCAACAATTCTGTGTTTTTCTGTCAATATGGGGTGCTGTGTGTACATTAATGAGGAAAAAAAATTAACTTAAATGATTTTAGCAAATGGCTGCAATATAACAAAGAGTGAAAAATTTAAGGGGGTCTGAATACTTTCCGTACCCACTGTATATATATATACTGTATACACACACACACATTCATATGTATGTTTGTGTGTGTTTGCAGGTTGAAGTCCTCCTTCGGTCTTCATTATGGCCAGCGGAGATGATGATGATCCAATTATACAAGAGGTAGACGTGAGCATGCTGAACTAATACAGGACGATCAAACTGCAGAGTTATTGTTGTTTTTAGCATCTGTATCATTCTTACTGCTCTCTCTTGTTAGATTGATGTGTATCTGGCCAGAAGTCTCGTGGAAAAGCTGTATTTGTTCCAGGTAAGAATGACAGATAATATATTTCATACAGAAGAAGGTTATAGCTAGTGGTTGTCCGATATCAAAACTGATATCAGAGCTGTTAATATTTATGTATTGGAGTTTAATAATGGCCAATGACAAATTTGGGGTCAGTACAATTTTTTTTTTTTAAGTAGTGTTTTTTGCTCACCACGGCTGCATTTATTTGATCAGAAAATGCAGTAAAAAATAGTAATATTGTGAAATATTTTTACAATTTAAATTAACACAATTCTGTGTGAGTATATTGGAAAATGTAATTTATTTCTGTGATCAAAGCTGTATTTTCAGCATCATTACTCCAGTCTTCAGTGTCACATGATCTTCAGAAATCATTCTAATATGCTGATTTGCTGCTCAAGAAACATTTCTGATTATCATCAATGCTGAAAACAGTTGTGCTGCTTCATATTTTTGTGGAAACGGTGATGCATTTTATTTTTTCAGGATCCTTTGTGTAGAAAAATCTTTTGTAACATTATAATTGTCTTTACTGGCACTTTTGATCAATTACATTTCTTCTAAAAATCACGCTGATCTTAACCCGTATCGTATTTTTCACCAAGAAATTGCTCATCCATAGGCAAGGCTGGAATTTTCAGTGTAATACAAAGGTCGCGGTAGTGACTGATAATCTTTAAAATCACTAGTTGCATAACTTATGCAGTCACTGCTTTGAACATTTTCCTCTCCAGTATCCAGTGCGTCCTGCTTCTATGAGCTATGAGAATGTGACTCATTTGGCGGCCAGGATTAAACCCAAGCAGCAGAAGGTAAGCTGGTGTTCACTGCTCGTTTCTGAAGTTTCTCCTATTAAACACACAGAGCTCACGTTTTTCCTCCCTGCATCCAGGTTGAACTGGAGGTGGCCATGGACACCATGAGTCCGAACTACTGCGGCAGTAAAGGCGAGCAGATCGCGCTCAATGTGGACGGCACGTCCTCAGAGGACTCCAACGTTTACTCGACGTGAGGAGCATCAACCTTTCTGATGTTTACTGCCAGACTTTGGTGTTCGTAGTTTTAATCTTTTCCTTCTGCTTACAGGAAAATGATGGACAAGCAAACATTCTCCTCGATCCAGGCGACCACTAACACGTCCCGCTACGCTGCGGCTGTGTTTCACAAAGGTTGACTTGTGCAGCGTCACATTCCTGTGGAGTAGAAGCATTTATGTGATGATCTGTTATTGATGTTTTGGTTGCAGGAGAGCTTCATCTCACTCCACTGCAGGGAATCCTCCAGATGAGGCCCAGCTTCACCTACCTTGATAAAGCTGATACTAAACATAGAGAAAGAGAGGCGGCCAATGAAGGTGCGGGGTGTTTTGGGGTCACCTCTGTTTTTTTTTAATACGGTATTCTTTCTAGATTTGATCATAAAGGCAAATGAAGATTATATATGAAACTTTTTTTATTTTCTTAAATCAGATAGCTAAAACTAAAAATTAACACCACTGAAAGAAACATAAACATTACATTAAATCAACTAAAATGGAAACTTTTTATTTCAGCTAGTTTCCAAGGCAACATCTCTCATTTTAATTTAGTTTAACTTGATGTACTAAAATAACTAAAACTGAATTACAATTAATAAACATTATATAGATGTAGATAAATTTTTTTTAAAAAAAGACAAAATCACAACAAAGTTACTAAAACAAACTAAAATGGAAAATAGAAAAATAGAAACTGATTCAAAATATTAATAAAACTATATTAGTATGGCAGTGGTACTACAGTAACACTGTTTAAAATATATTTTATTTGTCACACATAACCATACATATATGATGTGCCGTGAAATGCTTTTTTCAACTCTAAACATTAAATAAAATTTAACAGAAGAATAACATAGGATCACAAAAAAATGTACAGAAGTCAGAATAGAAAATATTTTAAAAATCGGAAATAGTTTTAAAACAATGTAGGGAAGAAAAAAATTATATATACAATATACCAGCGCATATACTTACTTGCCAGCAACCCGCCAAAATAAAAGCTTGCTGATTTTAGGTTTGAAAATGTTGAAAATTCATATAAAAATGTAAAAAGTAAAAAAAAAATTTTTTTATAAATAAATGAAAAATAAAATAAAAATAAAATAATTGGTATTGTATTAAGTATATTATAAAACAATTGTTTTTATATTAAAAAATACAAACAAAAGTATTTAAAAAAAAAAAAACTGAAAGTGCAATAATATTGTTGTTACTATTATTGATTATTTAATTTTTATAGTTGTATTTAACGGGTCAAACTATGTGCAGTGTGAGCACCAATCCAAATCTCAAGGTGCTCTCATGAAAACCAGACTGGAAAACTGAATATTTAAATATTATGCAATTCTGACCAGTATGATAGATGCATTATTAAGATGATCTAATGAGTGTGTCCATTTGCAGCTGGAGACTCTTCTCAGGATGAGGCAGAAGATGATGTTAAACAAATCACTGTAAGACTTCATGCAGTTGTTTTCTTTTTTGGAAAGTATAGAACAAAATGCTGAGTCATGATCTGTGTTTGAGCCAGTGCTCATGCTCAGTGCTCTTATTGTTTACTTGCCCTTTAACCAGGTGAGGTTTTCCCGGCCCGAGTCAGAACAGGCCCGTCAGCGCCGCATCCAGTCATACGAGTTCCTGCAGAAGAAACAAGCTGAAGAGCCCTGGGTTCACCTGCATTACCACGGTGTAAAGGTGCGTGTGATCATGTGACCCGCCGCAGCACACTTGACTGACGCATCCTAACACACTGATCTCACTGTAAACCACATCAAACAAACACTTCGTTTTTACTGCTCAGAAATCACATTTCTTACACTTAAAAAGACTTTGACTTTGCTCCTGAAATCATAGTAAACTTGCCGTCTCAATGCTTGAAAGTGAAGAACTTAAGGCATATAAATTTTAGTATTAGAACTTGTAGTGTAAAATAAAAAAAATGATTATATTATGAAATATTTTCTTTATTTTACAGTGCAGTTGTAATTTATATCAGTAATAATAGCTTTATTATTATATTTCTTCTTATTAATAATGATAAAAAAAATTGATTTTTGTTTCTAAAAAAAAAAAGGCTTTCTAATTGCATGTGATGTGACTATTAACTGACAGCAGAGAACTGTGAACATGCAATTGTTGTTAAATTATTGAAATATTAGCATTAAATCTCTGGGACTTTAAGTAAGGTTTTGGTTTTCAATATGTGATAATGTTATCAAAGATTTGTTTTTATTACAGTACAATACAATTACAGTAAATGATAATAATAGCATTATTATTCATAATAAATTATGATTGAGGTTAAAAAAAATACTGTGAATATTTGGAACAAAAAGTGAAATGTTTATATCACAGTTCAAATCGCAATATTGTATAATGGCAAAATAATCGCAATGCTGTGTAATTTTTGTTCAAGACGTTCAGCCTTTATAAAAACCATTTAAAAAATAATTCAAATAAATCACCAAAAGAGATGAAATATTTAACTGTAAACATTAAGCGACATCAGAGAACTGCAGACTCGAATGTGTTAAATGTTTAATTATTGAAATATTAACCTGAAATGTCATCTAATATTTTATCCGGAATCATTCAGTGTGGTTTATATTATTCATGCATTCTCGTTTATTGTGATTCATCTTTAGGACGGACGTTCTGAGCACGAGCGCCAGTATCTTTACTGCCAGGCCATGGACACCGCAGAAAACACAGAACTGGTGAAAACGCCACGGTTAGTGCCTTCTGAACACTGGAGGATCAGTTTGTGAAATATGCATGTTCATCTGATGTATTTTTGCTCTCTCCTCAGTGAATATCTGTCCATGCTCATGCCTCCTTTGGCTGAAGAAAAAGTGTAAGTAGAAGAACATTCAGTAGGATGCAGTGAGGTGTTTGTATTTTTCCCATTTTCTTATGTTGTCGTCTCGTCCTCTAGCGCCAAGCCCATGGGTCCCAGTAACGTGCTCTCCATGGCCCAGCTCCGCACGCTGCCTCTGGGGGAACAAGTCAAGACGCTGATGAAGAACGGTGAGCTTGGGTTGCGTTATTGTTTATGGTCTAGTTCAGGCATCCTCAAATAGAGGACCGCAATCCGGTTCTGGACCCTGTCTTGGTTCCAACCGAGCTGTGAGACATTATGACAACAAGTAGCACCAATATTTCTACTGTTTAAAGGCAGTGATTTGGTTCATAACATTTATTTGTTATGCTGGTAAAAAAGTCTCTTCACATCCAGATAACAATCGCTAAGTGAAGTGGTCTAAATGTGTATCAGTTTATAATATAACTATCAAAACAATAGAAATATTATACATTTAGCAGCTTCAGAGTATACAAATATGAAAACGCATACATCAACAAATCCAATTTATTAGCAAATTAAAACTGAAATCAAATGATAGCACAAGAATGTTCAGTGAGGAAACAAATTAAATAAATTTAAATATATAGGCATGAGTCAAAGGGTTCATAATAGATATTCCAGGTCTCTAAGAAGATGTGGGTTTTGTTTTTTAAACTGTGTGTTAAATGTTTCATGTGCAGTGTGTCGTTTATAATATCTTTAATTAAAATGTTGGAGGGTGTTCTTTTTTCCAGTTTAATCAAATACATTTCTTGGATACATATGAAATCAGACCTACCCTTTTAATAAATAAAGGCTCTAATATCTCATTTAAGTCCACCCCAAAAAGATATATGTGACCCTGGACCACAAAACCAGTCATAATTCATTTTATAAATCAATTTTTTGATATTGAGATTTATACATCATCTGAAAGCTGAATAAATAAAATTTCCATTGATGTATGGTTTGTTATGATAGGACAATATTTGGCTGAGATACAACTATTTGAAAATCTGGAATCTGAGGGTGCAAAAAAATCAAAATATTGAGAAAATCATCTTTAAAGTTGTCCAAATTAAGTTCTTAGCAATGCATATTACTAATCAAAAATTAAGTTTTGATATATTTACGGTAGGACATTTAAACAATATCTTCATGGAACATGATCTTTACTTAATATCCTGGTGAATTTTGGCATAAAAGAAAATGGATAATTTTGACCCGTACAATGTATTTTTGGCTATTGCTACAAATATACCCCAGCGACTTAAGACTGCTTTTGTGCTCCAGGGTCACATATTAAATCTTGTGCTATTTCTTCTCTAGGACCATCACAGAGAACTCATGAACAGTATCCCAAAACTCATTTAATTTGACCCTGTGTGTCTTACATCTGTTGCCAGGAGATGCGCCAGAGTCTAAATGTATTTATATCATCTATTGACGGCATAGGATCATAAAAAGTTCATCCAATCATATCCCTCGGTCCGAGTGCTACGATAGGCTGTCCTACCTGCCTGTCAACGTATGAATTTGCATACCTCCTTGCACCCTGTTCTTTGTTATTTTGTTTTCAGAATTGTGATTTGCTTTGCACTTCTCGGCCACCGTACATTACACTATTGCAGAGCGAGTGAGTATGGAAGTGCTTCATTCAAGCCCTCTCCGCTCCATGCGCTAAAGACAGAAAACACCCCATGAGCTGCAGATGAAGTGGTTATTTTAACAATAGTAGCAGAAACACAGTGAGCAGCAAAATAGGTTGATACTTTTGCTAAAACGCTGCTAAAAATGAGAATGCAGCAATCGAGTTTCAGATATGACTCCGACTGTTCAAATAAACCAGACTTGTGATTTTCATCTTTTTCAAATACATTTAGCATTATTAATCAGCATGTTCAGAGCATTTCAGTGTTATAATTGGAAAAAATGATTTGTATATGGCAAGGAAAGAGAGAATAAACTTTGAAATGACTAATTACCTTTCTTTTCTGCTCATGTTGAGAGTGTTTAGATTATTATGTACATTGTTTGTTTGATTTTAGTGGATACTTGTTTTAAGCAAAATGTACAAATGTTCCAGACTTTCCCTGAAGCCTCAATCATGTGGCCTTCTGCCGTACGTGGTATCTAAATGTAAAAATAATAATAGACTGATAAAACATCTGATCTTACCTTTTAATATTCAAACCCAATTGAGCTCAACTGCTAAAAATATTTACATCTTTTGTATAATAATTCTCAGACACACCGCTTTGGATCTCGGGTCCCAGTAGCCTCAACTTTGATGAGTATTTTAACTGCTTAGGATTTTTCTTTTGCAAATTACACTGCGTTAAGCTAACCGAGACGTGTCATAGCACTTGCATATCCTTGCTCTTTTGTTGATTTTGATTGCTTCACTCATTTGTAAGTCGCTTTGGATAAAAGCGTCTGCTAAATGACTAAATGTAAATTACTGCTGTCAAGATGGAAATTTATAACTGTTCCAAAAAGCATTGTCTGGACCCCCGCTGAAACCGGACCTCTTAGAACTTTCAGGCAAATTGTTTCTGTCTCTATATAACCGTTTTCTTTTGCTCGTAGTGAAGGTGATGCCGTTTGCCAATCTGATGGGGCTGCTGGCCTCAGGAACGGACTCCACCGCAGTGCTGCGCTGCATCCAGCAGGTGGCGCTGCTCGTCCAGGGCAACTGGGTCGTGAAGAGGTGAGGATGGCGTTTGTTTCCTCTCTACATCGAGTTAATGCATGATGTTTTAGTAGATGAAGTGCTAAAATTCTCTGTGTGTGTTTTTGTCTTTGACAGTGACGTGCTGTATCCCAAAAACATCTGTAGTTCCCAAAGCGGCGTTCCTGCTGAAGTGCTCTGTCGCGGCCGAGACTTCGTGGTGAGTTTCATTTGTTTCCTTTATTTTGGTTTTCTCCACATGAACGGATTGTGTCATACAATTACAGATACCATTGAGTGATATCATTAGCTCTCTATATACACGTTAATGTGTAATCATCCTCTCTAATTAATATTAATGCTTTAAAAGAAACGGAACAATGTACTGTTTCACTTACAGTTAAGGTAGAGCAAGGTTATATGATCGTGGAACTGTCATATGATGCAATTAACACATGGACAGCATGACATAAAAACAAAAGAAAGGAGAAGATTAATTCATAGCAGGACTACTTGCAGTATAAGCAAAAACAGCAGCCATAAACCTAAAAATAAAATATTAATAGTAAAAAAAAAACATTATTATAATAATCATAGTAGTTATATGAATTAATAAGAGCAGTAAATAGCTTGTCATCCAGCAGCATTTACAGTTTAATTTCACAAGTGTAAGGGTGAGTTATTTTATTTTTTCTTCTCTCTTTTGACTGAAATATGTGAAATGTTGTGGTTACATACCCTGATATGATTCCTGTGTCCTGGTTTTGATATTTGGTGATCTGAAAAGTGTTGCTGTCACAATGTATGCTGATTTCATATTGCACTTTCAGATGTGGAGATTCACTTCAGAACGAACCCTGATGAGAAAAGAGGTTACTGCCATCATAAAGGTTTGTGTGCTGAATTAAATGAGTGCTCGAGTATAACAGATGGCGGCGCTGTAAGGACAAGATGTGATGTTTTACCCTTTATAGTCTGACAATGAAACCTAGTTCATACATTTTATCAAGTAAAAGCTCTTTTAGTGTAATTGTGCAAATGGCCAGCTTCAGCTGGTGCTTCACGAGTCTTTTTTCTGTCAAATCTTTACTGATTTTTATCAAGTAAACATCAGAATAACTGTAGTAAGTAATATTTCCAGATGAACACTTACTGGACTGAAGCAGCTCAGCTTTACTTGATTCTCCATCAATCATTTTTTATAAAAATCAGTGCGTCTCAAATCTGATCATCAGGATCTTTTGAGGAGCGTTTGTTTCCAGAAGCTTTACTTTCACTGTTCCTCAGCGGAGGAATGATCTTCACAAGCCTCCAGAACATCTAACATCTTCTGAGGAGCGTTTATTTCTTCATCTCTCAATCATCATTGGATTGCATTGCATTATATGTTTGGATCGTTTCAATTTAATTTTGCTAAGACATTATTGGAGATATAGAGTGATGACTGATATTTATTTGTCATTTTATGTCAGTATCTGCTGTACTGTTATAAATATCTCATTGATTTAAATTACAAGCATTAGAATTTCATCATGTAAATATCAGCATCCGCACCAAATTGCATTTTTTTGCTCAGTTTTTGCTTCATATTCTCACTGTCAGATTATATGAGCCTGATGTATCATATGATACTTAACAAAAACACAGATGCAATCATATATATATATGCTGTATATGTATATGTGTCGTCCTCTGATGTTTTTCTCTGTCATGTGACTACAGCTTCCTCCAGAGGACGTTAAGGACTTCCTGGAGCAGATGTCTGTCCCTCGATTAAACCGAGGCTGGGAGTTCCTGTTGCCCACGGATTATGATTTTGTCAGAAAGCATCCTGATGTGGCTCAAAGGCAGCACATGCTTTGGCTGGGCATTCAGTCTAAGTATGACATGACCTCGCAGAATTTGACATTAAACCCTTATTTTCTTTATTCTATGAAACACAAAAGGACTTTTGATCATCTAAAAAAAGTGTGCAGGCGCTATAGCACTGTGTACAGGGTTACAACAACATGAACATTTGAACTAATGCTTTAGCTAAATAGGATAAATAACACAGAATATTAAAGATATCGTACATAGTTTGGTCTTAAAGGCAGAGTAAGTGATTTCTGGTAGCCAATGTTGATATTTGAAATCACCAAAACAAACACGCCCCTACCCCAAAAGGGTCTTGCCCCTATTTTGATAGCTCCGCCCCACATATATGTACGCAACCCAGGCAACGATTAGTTCTGTGAAACAAAGCAAAACCAATATTTCACCGTGTCTACGGACGTGAGCGGCACGGCGCAACAAATCCCCGACAGAAAACTGCTGCCAGGTTCTATTTATGACGTGCTGACACAAATTTCAAATGGTTTTCAACAGTCGTTTGATCGCGTCCAGTGTAGGCAGACTTTAGCTGTTGTAGACACGGTGTTACTCACCTATTGAGAAGAAACAAAGCAACCTCGGCATCCGATCGCAGGCCTCCGCTCCTTGAGTTCTCTCCAGCGCTGGAAAGCTGATCCGATATTTACACAGGTCCTACTTCTTGACTTATCGTTCCGCAGACGTTTTCCTCTTTTGTTTTTTATCCACCATCCCTATCTTTCTGTCGCTCTGCTCGGCTAATGTCCGTCCCATGCACTGAAAGCTCTCTCCTCCACATCACGAGTAGACACGCCCCTTATTGCTGATTGGCTACAAGTTTGTTTTGCGATTCGGCCCGAATCAGTTTTCTAAAGTGTTTTTGAAAAATCACATACCCCGCCTTTAAAGCAGCACTATGTAACTTTTTCTGTGTTCAAAATTTGCTAAATGTATATAATGAGCGAGTACATAATGAATTCATCTTCCAAACCGCCTTTTTGTCTTATCCCGAATCACTACGGTACACTTATAATAAGTACTTATATTTGGACTATTGTAGCCTGGT